TCAGATGCACTATACTAGTCAAACAGTTCATCAGGGTCCATCCTCAGCAGAAGACTGACCAGGTAGAGAACTATAGGGCACTACACCATTAGAAAAACTGGTTTACTGATACATGAATAAAGTAAGACCTGCTTGGGCAGGTGTACTTCAGATTAGAGAAACAGCATAGAAAGCTCCTCTTGAAAACTTGCTTGGACAGAATGGAAAGAGGAAGGGAGGCTGGGCAGCCATGAGAAAGTATCACATATGTTGTTGAATTCTAATCCTGTAACTTCTTGCTCCATTTCTCTCTCATATTTTCTTTTATTTGATAACCAAAATAAGAACCTCACATAGCCCTTTTGTGTGATACCTATGTCTATGTGGAACTCCTTTGTCTCCACCTGTCCTTCCTGCTGCATCCCTCAGGATACAGAGATAAACCAAACATTCAGATTATTAACGATCTTTCCTGATGCTAATCAGGAACCCATTTTCCACTTTTAATCTAAACCTGGGAACCTATTCAACCTGCCTCAGCAGGACCTTCAGTGGTCATCAAACCCATTCAGCCAGCTCCAGTAGAGCCATCTAGCACCTAGCTAATCTCATCAACGGTATTGTGAATCCAGACTCTGCCCCCCCCCGGGACCTCATTGATCACACCTAAGTTTTTCTCCTCCTGGTGTCACACCCCCTAGGACCCCTTATTGGCCCAGGTAGTCTTTTGTCTTCACCTGAGACAAGCCCCTCAAGGTCTCCCATTGGTTCAGATTGTTCTCCAATGTCTATATCCATCCAAGCATATGGCCTTGACTGTGTGTCTGCCTGGATGCCAACTGGCAGATCATCCCCAAACTGTCTTTGGGCTATAATCTCTTCTCCATGGACTTTTGCACATCTGGACAGAGAGTATAACCCCTGTAACTGAACCTTCTATTCACTGTCATCACCTCTGTTTTCTTAGTTCTGAACTGCGTGATCTTTCTTGAATGCTTAGTGTGGAAATTCTTCAATAAAACCTATTTCATTTACTCTTCAAATCTGGAGTCTTCCTACTGTATCGGCCCTTGGTATAAACATGTGTGTGATCCCTGGTACCCGTCTGGCCTCCCTGGCTGCCTAGCTAATTTCTCCCAACTACTGGGCAGGCCATTGGTGGTAACAATCTAATAATGAAATCCTTGGAAACCCCCCCCCCCTCAATTTTTAATGTCCCCATTTTATGCGTGATTTTTGTAAATGTATTCTGTTATGCAGAGTAAAGTGTAAGTCAGAAAGCTGTTACATAAAAAAAGACTTGCTGGATCAATCCATCTAGTTCGGTGATCAACCTGTTGATCTAGAGGACAAATAAAGGACACAGAGTCCAAGGCCTTTCCCTTTAAGAAGAAGATATTGGATTTATACCCCACCCTTCACTCAGAGTGGCTTACAAACTCCTTTCCCTTCCCCGCCCCACAACAGACACCCTGTGAGCAGTGTTCCCTCTAAGCTGAGTTAGGGTGAGCTAGTTCACAGGTTTTTAGCCATCGGCTCACACATTTTTGCCTTCGCTCAGGAGGATAGCTATAGAGCAAACTAATTAATGCAGTAGTGAAATCGCTCGCTCACAACTTTAATGCCAGTAGCTCACAAAGTAGAATTTTTGCTCACAAGACTCCACAGCTTAGAGGGAGCATTGCCTGTGAGGTAGGTGGGGCTGAGAGAGCTCTTTCCAGAACTGCCCTTTCAAGGATAGCTCTTGTCAGAACTATCCAGCAGCTGCAAGTGGAGGAGTGGGGAATCAAACCCAGTTGCCCCAGATTACAGTCAGTGCATTTAACCACTACACCAAACTGGCTCTAAGTTCTCTTCCAGCACTAGTATTCAGAGATTTATTGCCTATGGATGTGGAGGTTCCCTTTAGTCATCATGGGTAGTAGCCTGGGATGGATTTATCCTCCATGAATCTGCCTAATGCCTTTAGCCCTCTGTGCCAATGACCCTCACTATGCTCACTGACAGTGAATTCTGTTGTTTAATTACTTATCAAGTAGGATTACCAAACCCCCCCGGGGGGCGGAATTCCCCCCCGGTTTCGAGCCCCGATTCCCACTCCCGCAGCGTGTGACGTCACTTCCGGTGACGCTCTGGCGGCGCGCGCGCACATCCCTGGCCGGCTCCCGGAGCGACAGGATGCTCCCCCGCTGGTAAGGATTTCTGATTTGGCAACCCTATTATCAAGTGAACAATTGCTTCCTTTTCTCTGTCCTGAATCTATTGCCCATCTGCTTTATTAGGTGCCCCTGCCTTCTAGAATTATGTAAGAGGGAGAAAAAGTTCTGCCTGGCCACTTTTCCCACCGATGCATAATTTTATGCATTTCATTATCCCCACCCCCTGTAAGGACCCCGCCCCCTCCTCCAGCTGAGACCCCCCTTGATCAGTGAGCTCCCCCTCTTATTTTGGACTTCTTTGTTTTAATAGGCACCCCTTTTTTAGAGCCTAAGTGCCAGGAGATCTGGAATTTAGGGAGTCTCATAAAGGCAACTGGGTACAGCCATGAAGGCCCAGGAAAGAGGTAGGTTGTGCTGGCTTTACAAACTGATCAAGCGTGATCTTCCCCAGCTCAGGGTTCTCAGTAACAATAAGACTTCACTTCATTCTCAATAATAAAAGACCTGTCAGCACTGGAATATCCTGGTATATCCCAGAGAAGAAGAAGAGTTGGTCTTTATACCCCACTTTTCACTACCTGAAGGAGTCTTAAAGAGGCTTACAATCTACTTCCCTTCTTCTCCCCACAGCAGACACTTTGTGAGGTAGGTGGAGCTGAGAGAGCTCTGAGAGAACTGCTTTTGAGAGAACAGCTCTGAGAGAACTGTGACTGACCCAAGATCACCCAGCTGGCTTCATATGGAGGAGTGGGGAATTAAACGCCATTCTCCAGATTAGAGTCTACCGCCCTTAACCACTACACCTCTCTTGACCACTATACCAAACTGCCCAGCCCAAGGAAGTTGCTGTTTCATTAACCAGTGCCCAGTTCATATTTTTACCTTTTCAACTAATGTTTGACAGCAGTTAACTTTAAACCAGCCAGTGAGATTCAAACATTTCGTCTTGGACCAATCATATTCCTATGTCAAGCTATGGAACTCTTCACCATAAAAAGACCATCCCAGGTCAGTGAAAAGTGTGCCAGGTTTCCCCCCACTATCTGAACACCTCTGCAACTGTATTGTGGGCTCCTTTTTCTTTCTCCTCACTTTGTGCCTTGGACCTCTCCAGACCTCAAGCCTAGGATTTCAGGTTGTATGTCCCTTCCCTAAAACTTCCAAATTTTCTCTGTTTTCCTTTTTATCAAGTGTGCCCTCTTGCTGGTGTGTGTGCATGTGTTTACTCTGAGAATTACTCCTTAGTTGCTCAGTGTAGGTTCTGTACATTTTTACTTGTTTTATTTTGTATATTTACAATCACTCTGTCACTCTCTTCCTTCCTAAATTTTTTTTTTGGGATATTCCCACTGAGATCCACCCTGGTATACACAGACCTACAAGGTCATACCTTATCCCTTTCTGGAAATTTTTAATTAAGAAACGTGCAGGAACCCAGCGAGTTCTGCCCCTAGACAGGACACAACTGCTGATCTCCAAAGGATGCTGACTGAGGTATTGCGACCCCTGCTGGAACAAGTCACGGCATTGCACCAAAAACTGGATGCACAACAAGCACAACTTAATGAAACTTCGAAAAAAATTGAGAAATCAGAACAAGAGCTTTAAGAAGTGGATGCCAATACCAAGAAGCTGAAAAAACCAACTGCAGGTGATGGAAAAAAGAGACTAGTTGGCGAGTCTCATTTGTTGCAGCTACAAATGGAAAGAGCAAGCTATGTTCTAAAATTTCAAGGAGTTCCTCAAGAGAAAGAGGAGGATCTAAAGCAGATGATGTGTGATGCTATAGCCCCATTAAAGCGGATACACTACAAAATGAAATAGATACTATCTATAGATCGTATTCTGAATATACAAGAAGGAATAATCTGCCTGGGGAAGTGATGGTGAGATTCTCCAGAAGACAAGTGAGGGATCAAATCCTTAATTAGCTACAACCTTGAAGCTTAAGGACAAAGAAATTAAAATCATGAAGGACATTCCGTTTGAAATAAGGAAGAAAAGAAAGAAATATAGAGACTTGGTATTATACTTACAGAAAAATAACATATCCTTCAGATGGAATGTGCCCGAAGGTATAATCTTCAAATATAAGGATAAGAAAGAAAAAATCGACACTACAGAAAAGGCAATGGAGTTTTTGCAGTGTTATAATCGTCCAGCAGGTGAAGCAGACAAGAAGAAAGATGATAGCACCAAGGAGCGTGATGAAGATGGAGAAGTGGCGTCTTCCAATGAGGACTCAGATTCAAATCTTGGAGCTGCAGCCCCCCAAAAAACTTCAGTTGAGAAAAAAAAAGGATAGATACTGAGTTGTTATTGTTTCTAGAAAGTCACATGAGTACTAATTGTTTCTTGTATTGTTCTTTATTAAGTCAAATGCATAGGTGATTTATATTGTTTTGATTACAGGATGAAGATTATGATTACAGGATGAATGTCATAATCAAACCTTAAGCTAGAAGTTAATTCTAAAAGCTTTATGTATGATCACCATCTCTTGGGGTTTTAGTGGGTTTGCTTTACTTTCTCCCTTAGATTGTGGGTCCCCTTCCTATTTTTCGTTGTAGTTTTTAGAAAATGCAAATTAAAAAATCCCCTACGGGGGGCCAAAAAAACCACACACGTGCAGGAAGATCTTGGGTTAACCCCCCCCCCTCAGGATATCTGCAGGCCAACAGCAGAATCATGCATGCAGAATCAAGAGCAGAGTCATACATCTGTCCAGGTAAAGAGCGGAATCATGCATCTGCACTGGGAAAGAGAATCTTAGAGAAGAAACAAAGAGGAAAGCTCAGGGGAAGCATGGATTATACTGCTAGTGCAGTGAGAGCATGTTGACACATTGTCTTTTTGTTTTAGATCACTCAGGAGGCAGGAGAATTTATGATAACTTTCCCGTATGGATACCATGCAGGATTTAACCATGGTTTCAACTGTGCAGAGTCAACGAACTTTGCAACGATCAGATGGATTGATTACGGAAAAGTAGCTAAATTGGTAAGTCATATCCCATTACTAATAACAAAGATATCTAATTAGAATTTAAGAGGAAATTGTGCATTTTTAAGTACAAGCATGATATGATGACAGAATTGCATGAAGAACTTGCAAAAGTTCTAAACCAGCAAATGTAATTGTTGCTGGCTCTGTGATGGATTTAGGTATATCTTTGGGATTAATGATAACCAAATATTATAGGTTTTCTTCTTGCAGATGTGAGGAGTCTCTTTCTGTTTTGATACACTAATTATTTCAGTTAGTGGTGTATTCTACCAACTCAGCTTTCTGAAGTGCTGCCACTTTAAAGGGTTTAGGTAATTTTTCTGTTCTGTTAATGCAAACATTCTGTTCTCAGCACATAATACACAAATCCTTGCACAGCTATGTTTCTTTTCCCTTGACTATAATATTTTCAAGCATCCAGTGTTAGGTCAAACAAACAGCAACTTTCTGCATCAACATATCTAGTGAGGAATGGCTGCATATCTGCCATAAAACCTTTGTGTATTGAAAGGATGCAGTGTTCTAGGGGAAAGTTTTAGAGTGCAAACTTAGTTCATATGAGGTGTTAGCCTGACCTCTTGGGTTTCACATTTGCTTTTCATTATCTAAGAGTGCTGTCTATAGCGCACTCAACAGCCCCTTGTGCCTGTGCTTTTCAGGTAAAGACTGGTTGTGCTGGGGAGCTGATTTCACTGACAGCTTTGATCACCTTCCAAGAAATAATAGGATGCCCCAGAATGCAATCTGCAAGTTATTCTGTTATAACATCCCTGTTATTAAGCACCAATCTGCCTACCTATTGCACATTACATGGTGCCAAGCAACAGCTTATCCACATGACTTGCCTTTTGCCATTAATGCACCTGATACTGCTCTGAATCACAAACCATTTAATGAAGACTCTGTTCTGAATGAATGTTTGTTATACTGAGGCCAATGAGTATATAGAGGAACGTAGGTGTTATAGAAGGGCAGATGCTGTATTGTTGTGAATCCTGCTGTCTTCGTTCCCCATTAGCTAATTAATCGACAAGAGGTATTTTTCAAGTGCTGTTGACTTCTGGAGTGAAAAAACTTACACTGATAGAATCTCTTTCATTGTATGAGTACACTTTCATGAAATTTATGTAAAACCTACCTTGAGAAGTGTGTCATCCATTTCCTATTGCAACTGAAAAGTCAATAGGTGACATGCTAAGGAGCTTGATAATGAATCATGATTTGTCTTCTCCCCAAATGGAAATAATTGGAATCAGAAAGAACATGAAAGAAAATTCAGAACAACAGTTCTGTTTCTTTCTCCTCTGCATATCTTTTTACTCATCTTTGTCACTTCTTAAGATTTAATGTTATTCTAGTCCCAGGAGCAAAATAAAAGAAAATATTCCATGTTCTTTGCCTGCTTTGTCTAAAGTCCGAGTAGAGGCTTTTGTGGAAGGATTTTTGTTATTTTAGGGCAAAAATGTTTTAGGGGGTGTATAGGTCTTATTTCCAAGAGGGTGTTTACTGATGGTTGCAAGTTTAAACCTTGAAGTACTCTCATAATATACTTGTAAAACTTCTTCCTGATCTGATTTCCCTTTCCATTATGAAATATAGATATCCTTTCTGTTATAGAATCACTAGAATCTTACAATATGGTTTCAAAGAAGTGGTCTAAATGGACTGTGGGTTGGGGTGGGGTGGGGTGAACCTGTCATCTACATACTCTTAATAAAAGTAAAAAGAGTAGGCAAACGTAAACACACAACTGTTAATTTTGAACTTTGATTATAGTTATAAACAATAGTTATTTTATAAAGTATAATACCTGTGACTTTTCCTTGTTTTAATGTATCAAGATTAACTGCACAATGATTGCTGTAGTACATTGTATACTTCAAGTGAACTTCAGAGGATTTTTCCTTATGATGATCTCTTATTTAACTGACTAACTTGTACCTGAAGGAAGATATTTGGCAGCTTTTTCTTCTGAAATCTTGCTTGCTAAAAATCATTAGCTCCTTTTTGTGAAATGTAAGCCCATAATTGCTCATGCATATTCTACAATAGTAGCTGCTTAGAGACTTTTTGTGTGTGGATAGGTTAGATCAAAGTGCTGGCCTGCAGGTTGTATTTCGTTTTCTTCCCTTTGGTGGGATGAAGTGCAGTTGTTTTGATGTTAGGTTTGATGGATTTGTTTGCCACTGCATTCATTAGCTTCACATCAAAAAACTGACAGGCTGTTAAATGAAATTTTGGCTTAGATTTTCAGCTTGACTGTTTGGAGACATTTGTGAAGATATTTTGTTTTTGTGCTGTTGTAGCCTCAAGCACCTATGACTATCTCTAAAGGAAAGAAAAATTATTTACGTTGTTGATTTTTTTACTTTAAAAAGTATCTTGAGGACAGCCATGTCTCGCTTGTGCTATCAGTAGAAGAGCTTTCGCTTATGCTATTTGTAGTACCACAGTTTACATCTGAATACATAAAAAGTTAGAATTGGCTGAAATTTTAGGAGACAAAAAAGACTGATACTGGTAACAAACACTCAGGCTTGTTGATCATTTTTTTGGGCAATGAAAGATCTTACAAAGTTTATCTGTTATACAAGAACATCATAATCCCTTATGTTCAATTAAAAACAACTTCCTTGACAGTTATTACATTTCTAAGCCTTACTTTTCAAAGACTTTAAGACTGATGCCATTTTACTCTACAAAGACTATCCATCTATAACTTTTATCTGTGGCGACTTTTTCCAGAACTGTATAGCATATATAAAGGTAATGGGGAAAGCTGAGTGCTACAATCGAGATGTCTCTTTGTCAGTTACACAGTTCAGTAATTTGGTTGCAAGAAGAGCTTATGACAATTAGGAAATAAGTTATTTTCCTTATTCTGTTTCTTAATATAATCTTGTGATGAATAGATGGGCAATAAGAGTGAAGTATGACTTTTTCTGGTGAGTAATCTATGCAGCAGTTTCAATTTTGAAATGTTTCTTGGCTTCAGTGGAGATTGTATCTGGTCTGATACTACGCCTTTCAAATGCAAATATCTAATGCTGCCTATGAGGAAGCTACCCCTAAATAATGTATGTGACATACTTTGAACACTGGAAATGTTCTGTACAACTGTTAAGGAGATAATCTAACCCTGTGCATGTCGAGATCAGCAGAGCTCCCTCCCCTGCCATCTTTCATTGTATGTACCTCAGTCTGCCATTGCAGAGTCAAGGGACTTCATATGCATCTTTCTTAACCCCTCTGTAAGCCCATAAGAACAATTCTTCTGCGTTACGGCTGTTCTATGACAACTTTCTTCTAAGCAAATTTGCTCTTCCTAGACAGTCTAAATAATCGATAATGAAACCTATTACCATCACTAGACTGGGTCTTGGTACCAAAGTGGCATTGCAAGCTCAGAATGTGCTTGTTCATTACCATAATAAACAATTAAGTATCATATTATCCTACTTTTGAATAGTTATCATGTACATAAGGTGATTTTTTAAAAATGAAGACAATTCTGTTTCCCCCCCTAACATCTGAGAAATTGATCAGAACTTTGAGGGAACTGGTCTACTTCATATCTGCAGTAGACAGAGTCACCTTCTATTTTGCAGGTAGAAGCATGTTAAAAGTGACATCAGCCTCTGTTTTCCCATGGTAGTATACATCATACCTACCCTAAGTCATAAAATGGCAAACGATCAAATCCTGAAAAATCAATATTTTTCTAATTTTTCAAGGCATAGTCAGAATGCTCTCAAAACCCTTTATAAATTGGAATGGAGGGGAACAGTCACTCCTTGATAATAATAAGAATGCACAAGATACAAGAGAAGTTTCAATTTGAAATGATAAAATATGGGAGAAAAACAAAATTCTGCTTTTTATTATTGTGTGTTTTGGGGAGGCCATAATTTGTAGATATATGAATTCTTTTTTATGAAAAAGAAAACTCTTGCATTCACATATGTTTTGTATGTAGTGGCTTCCCAGTGTTAGTTTTTGCAGGGGAGGGGATTTACTCGCCTTGCTATAGATCATGAAAACTTCTGTCTTTAATTAATTTGTTGAATTCAGGTAGGCTACAGGTCTTACTTTTTACATAGCTGAATATTTGACATTTTATTTTTAACTTCAGGGAATAAAGAAATTTGAATATATTCAAATCTTAGATGTGTCCATTTATGTAGCACTACAAAGTGTATAATCTGTATGTGTGAATAAAAAAAACAGGAAATCATATTTTTCTAAAGTCAGATTTTATATATGTATACCGCTGCAAAATATATGTGAATTGAAATAATAGGGTCTAATTCTTATGGCCCATTCAAAGCTTAAAATCATAAACACTATATTTGTCAAGCTAAGAAATGTACTAAGCTTGACAGGTTTTTCACAAACATGGCAGATGTTTAGGAACTGCTTTGTAAAGGCAGCTATAACTCTAGATCAGCTTTAAAACAAACAAGTGGTGAATAGTTGTTAATGATTTTAATTTGCATTTATGTATTTATTTAGCACATTTAATCCCATGCATCTCCCAAGGATTTGGAGGGGCATACGTTATACTCCCGTCTTCCATTTTCTCCTCACAACAACACTATCAAATCAAGCTGTGAAAGGATGACTGGCCCACAGTCACCCAGTAAGATTATGGTGAATGGGGATTTGAACTTGGGTTTCCCCAGCTCTAGTTCAGTACTATAACCTTTATACCATCCAACAGACATTTGCAATACCATTTGAATAAAATTCAGGGAAAGTCCAGCTGTGTCTTTTCTCATACAATACCTGAAAGATTAATTGCTATGACTTGATATGTAGCTCTTCTGTACATAACTATTGCAGCCTTTAGAAAGGTATTTTTGCTGCTCTGCCGTAGGCATTAAAAAAGCCTTTTGGTGATTGAATGACAAATATACAACATAACAACTGCAGGTGTTGAGTATTGATTGTCTTAGAATTAAAGGAATATTTGACATAGGCCTTGACAAATTTCT